GTATTAAAAGTGCTAAAAAAGAAAAAACAATCTATTAAGGGTATTTTAAATGAACCAAGTGCAGCATTGCTGCCTGCGGGAGCTAGTCCTGAGCACCAGCTCCTTGCCCAAAGCAGGACAGCTCCACGTCCAGCAGTGCTGAATGCAGAAAAGGGGTCTGAGAGAACCTGTTCTTTCCCTCTAACATGTGATTACCGGCACGATGAAAGTGAGTGCAGTTCCATATCCTGGCCTGGATCCAGATCGCCTGGAAACAGAGCCGCTAGCAACCATATTTAAAGGGATTTAGAATTTTAACTGTATCCTTCTGAATAAAGAACGAATCAGTAAAATTAATTAAGGATGTAAAGTTTAGCCCACAACTGTTCACTTTACCAGCAAGATCAGCAAGCCTAAGCTGTCCATATGGCACCTGTCACCAGAACTTGGATAGCTCTGAGAATCACTCACTCCAGAATGATTTGAATCTATTGTACCAGCCAAACAACATTTTACAGAGCTGCATCACTGAGTGGTACCTATCTGTATGATTGTACTTTAAGCCAAAATTGTTTTTTTCCCCTCCACAGACTACAGTAACGAGAAATGGTGTCGTGATTATTTTCTAAGCTGTTCTGCACTGAGGATGGCAGAAACTATTAAAGCTGAACTAGTAGAGATTATGAGGCGGATTGAACTTCCCATTTCAGAATCAGATTTTGGATCTGAAGAAAATATACTCAGCATAAAGAAATCTCTCATATCTGGTTACTTTATGCATGTAAGTGAAATTGTTGTATTATCTTGATGCATTGTTAGCTTACATAGAAAACTTTCAGAGAACTTAAGCACTGCAATCTTTTGATCCTCACAAAAGATAAAAGACCTTCTGCGATGAATCAGAAAAACATTTATGCCAGTTCTGGCCTTCTCTCCGGGATTCACCTATCACAACCTGAAATCTACCTACCTGCAAGAGGATAGCTCTTGTCAAGATGCCTCTCACTCAAATAACTCTTAAGAAAACTCTTACACTATTCTCTCAGGTATTATTTTATGACCTCTTTGAAGATGCTTATGTGAAAATATTCTGAAAGAAGGAAAGTGATCAGTTGAGTATCTATGAGATAGATACTTTCTCTCAGAAAGTCTAAGTTTAAATTTAGTTTTAATGGGCAAAATCTGATCCATGCATCTAATATATTCAGATAAATAATGGGTAACTCTCCGCCTTTTTTAGATTGCTCGTGATGTAGATGGCTCAGGAAACTACTTAATGCTAACACACAGACAAGTAGCTCAGCTTCATCCTTTCTCATCGTATTATAACACCAGAAGGATTCCCGAGTGGGTTCTGTTCCATGAGTTTAGTATATCAGAAGACAATTCCATCCGAGTCGTCTCCGAGATATCACCTGATCTGTAAGTGAACACTGAAGTTTCTTTCAGCGCGGCCTCTATAACCGAAGCATAATTGAAGTCACAAATGGAGTAAGGATGTGTACGTGCATCAACAGCAACGCTTGCAGAAGTCACCTCCTATTACCTTCTCTTCCTTTTTCTTTGTCACAAAAGTAGCTGTCTTCTGGCTCTGTTGAGAAATAGCTGCAAACCTAACTGATTCACTCTGGGTAAGGGGGGCTGGACAGAAATCAGTGAAATATTCATAGCAGCAGAGAAGAAACTTTCTATCTTATCAAACGGGATGATACAGCCGGCATCACTGCAATGGTGGAGAAAGTTTTTTTGCACACTTAAATACAGTGAATACATACAAAATGTATTTTTTTCTTGTTACCGTATTGTTCTGTCACTGCGTCTATCTTTGGTCCATTACTATTTCTTTTAGTGCAAAGCAGAAATGTCACTGAAGTCAACCTTTCATATTTCCCAAACTGTGCCTATCTTTTTCCATAGTCAATGTCTGTCACTGTAGCTTATTCAATTCATCCATTTTAAAAAACACATTACCAAAGTGTAAAAAATTATTTTTAAAGGGGAATAGGCATTATAAAGCAAAACTCAAGAAAAAGTTAGAATAGTTGAAGAGTCTTCAATGCCCTGAAAAGCCATCTTCCAGCTGTCTTTTTCCCAATGTTTTACATGTCCAATGAGATAAATCACCCCACACAACTGTTTAAGGATTCAAGAAAACAACTTGTAGTCTTCCCTCTGCCTGCATCTCTTGGCTCTGTGAATAGACATTCCACGGGCAAATCTGTCCTGTCATTTCTATTTCCAATAGCTGTACGAACTCCCTTCTCATAACATGCTTTACTAAGACAACAAGATGCTACATTCAATCTAGAAAAAACAAAACAATGTTCAGTGTTGAGAACTGAACTACAATCACCTAAAATACAGGCTGAGGACATTAACTGCAAGGCAGAAAGCACAAATCCAGTGTACATCTTGCAGGGTGTTTCATTTTTAAGTGCCAACTTGTAGATTTATTTATCAACATTTTGCTGGCTCTCCTTCACACAAGCCTGGAAACAGCTATTGCACATTCTAAAATACAATTAAATAATGTTTTGTATTAACATAATGTCATAATGTTTTATTTCCTCACCAGATTCGTGGAGCTGGCACCTCAGTACTATTTTACCAATCTTCCTCCTAGCGAAAGCAAGGATATGCTGCAGGAAGTGATCAACCATGTGTCACCCGTTTCAACCATGAAGGAGGAACAGAAGGCTAACTACGACAAGGAAGAAGGTGGAAAATATCCCCAAAGTCCCACTGAACAAAGATGTATTATTCAATGACTTTCAAAATCAAGTATCATATATTGAATGAATAAAAATAGGATATACAATATACATCTCAATTTCAACCCATGTTATTATTTTGAACTTTTGGCATAAAGGCATTTAACAGAAGGAATTCACATTAAAAAGTACTTTTCTTAAGGAGAAGAGTTATAAGACTTGTTTGCTAAAATGACAACATCTGATGTAGATTTTATTAAAAGACCTATTAAAAACAGAAGTTCTTGAAGTTTCCTTGTAACACCGGATTCTTATCGAACACTTAATGGTATATTTTTAAATATTGATTTGACTGGTATTGATAGTTGTTGTGTCAGCTACTTTTCTTCTAAGTGTATAGAAGAAACATGTGAGCAGCACAAAACCGAACTCAAGAGCAGTCTCCTGAAATGACTAGAAAGTCCTAGTTCTGCATCACTGCTTTATAAAAACAGTATTCACAGGAAAGTCTATAGTGAGAGATAGTCTTTGAGTTTATCCATAATGGCATGAATCCCATCAGCTGGGATGATCATAACCGTCCGCAAAGGTTTCATCGGAACATCGTCAAAGGACCATCTGCCGCCCAAACACGTGTCACTCTCCTCTTGCACAGAATAGCTGAACTTCAGAAGAGCTTTCTAAGAAAAGAAATGCATTAAAATTAATATTAATTGAAACTGCATGATAGTATATCATTCCAGCAGAGTAAAATGACGATCCTGTCATGCACATGCATATTATGAAATAAAGCCTCTTTTCTCCCCTTTCAATAAGTCCACCAAAACTACCTAAAACAGAAGTCACTAGTTTTTTTTTTTTTTTTGCAGAATTTATATACATTTATTCTAAAATGGCATTATCATCCTGACTTATGATCTTCCTGGTCCTGTCCAAGGTTTCCTGCTGCTTAGCACAATAGCTTCTAAGGGCCTGGACTTATTACTGTGGTAGCAGGGAGTGAGAGTCTGTTCCAAAACACCTAAAATCATGTGTGATAAACAAGTAAAGGGGCCATTGATTTTTCTTCCTTGTCTTTTTTCCTGATTTCCTGAAATTAAGTCCAGGCCCTTAGAAGCTATTGTGCCAAGCAGCAGGAAACCTTGGACAGGACCAGGAATATCAGCCTTACTCAAGAGTAAACCACTAGCTCTAAATGTGAGATTTAGTACGTCAACCTAAACGTGGTAAGAGGAGCAGCAGGAGTCTGCAGCTAGAACAGGGCCTGCAATAAACCTGGTGGATTTGCTGTGGGCACTGCATGGGAGGTCTGCAGAAGACAGAGTATGTCCTGCTGCTGTCACGGTCTGCTCTAAAACAGCTCAGAGTTCCAAAAATTAACGTATCTGTAAGAATATGTAGTAATTTCTTCTCTCAAATTGCCACTAGGAATTTTAAATATTAGCAGTCGGGATAAAGCAAAGGGATGTGCACTAATGAGAATCTTGAGCAGATTTTCAAAAAGTCCTTGAAAGCATCTGAACTGCAGAGCCACTGAAAGGTATATTTACAAAGGACGATTCTTCAAGTTGGTTTCTATGTTTACTATTCATCTTTTCTGTGAAATGTATTGCATATAGATAGTCTTTTTACTAGTTTTCCCACCAGTTGATTTAAGAAGTATGAACTGAACAATTAAGTGGAAAAATTAATCCAACCTCTTTGCAAGGAAAGTTAAGTTCCAGTCTCCCTATAGGTTTGCTACTTACTGACAGTATCTCAAGGCCATAAATTGAATTTTGGAAGAACCAAATTAATGGAGTGGCTTTGCCCAAGAACAAACAATTTGAGGAATGGTGCCCCTAAACCTTTAATCAATTCCAAGTCTGGTTATAACATGGCTTTTCTTCTGCTCACTCTAATATTTTAAGGAGCACAGTAAAACACAGTGAGCTGACATCCTTCTCTTTTATTTGACTCTAAGTGTCTGCCTCACTGCATTTTATAGCATTCTAATCAACATTATGCATGAGCAGGGAAGGATATACACTCTACTTCTAATTCATTTTGCACATATACATTCAGTGCAGAGACCCAGTTAATATGGTTTTCTTTTTAGCAATCTTTCTAGTATTTTTAACAAATGCATTTTAAACACTATGGAGGATATTAGATTCAGTTTGAATCTACCCACTTGAGTTGAAAGTTATTACATTTTAGATAAAAGATGACAGAGTCCTTAAAACACCAATCAAAACAACAAGCAGAGGTAAATAAAAAACAGGTCTTCTAGTATGTCATCTCCATAGACACATGGTCACCAAAGACTCCTGTCGTCCCATTTTTCCAGAACATGCTTACACAGAATTCAAACTCAGGTGCTTAGGCTGCTGTGGCAGAAACAAGAAAATCCTAAACTCATTCGTGCATAAAGGCTAATACAGAATTCCCTATAGCTAAAAATGAACGTGCCCACTTACATTTTTCTTCTTCTTAAGAAATAAAATCACAGCCTTATTGTAGCCTCTAACAAAGACTGTCACAAATGATTACACAGGGGAACCCTTGCCATTAACCATATGATACATGTGCAAATACTTTATCTTGGAGGCAGTTCCAGAAATGAAAAATAATGGGATCTTGACACAGTAATAATATTGTGGAATAATATTTTTAAAGCTCTGAAAAAAATAAAGAACGCTAAAATTCTATGCATTTCATATTATATTTTAAATTTAATTTCCTGCATCCTTCCTTCTCAATTTGGCTTGGAACCTGTCTAGTTGTGCATATAAGTTCCCTTAGGAAATTAGAAGCAGTATTTTCATCTCACTATTTCAGCACTTCTTATTGATATACTTGTTCAAAAACAAACAAGTGAGGTGGTGATATCTGCTTGTTTGGGTCTTGAAAAATAAATGCATCTGAGATGCAGTCTGAGTAGTTTTAAAAAAAACAACAGGTTTACAAAAATGAAATGGTTTAGACAGATTTCCACCCAATACTAACAGCAGCACAGATGTAGAGCTTTGCATCTGGTAAGTTTCTTGGGAAGAATTCCCAGAGCAATACACTCCATTGCATCACCAAATTCTGAATGAAGCCTCAACATCTGTTTTTATGACAGCAATCCAACTATGCAGGGGGAAGGGACAGAGATCTGTTCATTTAAGTATTGACATGCATGGCAGATTGTGATTGAGACGTCCAAAACAAAGATTCATCTGCTATTTTTTACATAATTTTTCGATTAAGTGAGAGCAGCCTTACAAGCTACTATCTATTGTCTGAGCTGCTATTCTTTAACCCCGCTTGTGGTGTGAATCATTTCAACTTGAATGCTCCTGAAAGATATTTAAGCTAATATATGATACCTGGATTTCACATGCCAACGGTCTTCTTTTTCAGCAATTGACACAGCAATTTAACAAGTCTTTCACATCTTATTATTCAGATTAAAGATGACTACTGCTTCATTTCCCAACTAAATAAGAATCTGAAAGCTTTATATAGAAACATTCAGAAGTGCTTGGACATGCTGCTAAATAACCACATTTTTCCTCATCTATTCATCGTAAAAGTGTCAAAGTTTCATTCACAGAATTTCAGTAAGACTGAGAGCTTTTCCATTCCTATGGATGCCATATGAACAAACAAAAGAGATGGAATTCTGTTAATTCTTTGAGGCTGAGACATTGAAAATGGCACTTGATCTTCCCTTTGCAGTCTTTGCCTATTTCCAGTCTCTCATGAAGTTTCCTGTTATTCTCATAGGACTGGGGAATCGTGCAGGTAGAAATGCTGCCACAGCAGGGCCTAGGCAACAGTACTCTCACAGTTCCACCAGTTGTGACCTTATAACAATAGCATACTGGTAATTAATGGCAAAACAGAGGGTTGATCTAATAATTTGTGCTTACCTTTCAGAGAACACCTTTCAGCAGTTCTCTAAAAACAAAGCATTATCTTCAATAAACAAAAATAGTTTGCTTGCTCAATACGTACTACTATTGGGATTTAAGCGTCATGACATGTAACCAGCTTTTAAGAGTTTCCCTTGAGGCTAAGGGGATATTTTTCCCTCCTTTACAGTATCATCAGAAAGTATTTGAGTTCTCGGTGTGTTACCTCATAGAAGAATTCTTCTTCTGCATTTGCAAACATTAATTCCTCCTTCTGCTTATTTCCTCCTTCTCTCCTCTTAGAATTGCTCTTTGTGGCTTCTGTAAAGGTCTTGCTGATAAGAAGATAGTAGTGGCACTTTCCACAAGGTTTGTTTTTTTTCTGTGCATCAGTCAGCTCCTTCCTAGAGGCAAATAAATGATTACATACACAATTTCAAACCTTCCTCAAATGTAAAAGTAAACCTCATCATGCATAACATCGCATAAAGGAGATATATAAAAGGATAATTGTACTGCATCCTATTCTTTTACTAGTATCTCAGGAAAAAAAAATTGGCAATAAACATTTCTAGTATTTAAACATTATAATTATACTTTAAACCAACATTAAAAGCACAAATATTGCCTTATGCCCCAGTGCACTGTTACTATTGCTCCTTCCAGAATGAGGACGAACTATTCATGTTTTCAATCTACAGTAACACTCTCTTCATGCAGTTTTACTGAAATAAAATTTCTGAAGAAATATGAAGAAATAAAAAACACGGTTCATGTCACAACGACTTACTGAAGCTGCTGGTGCATGGGCAGCGCTATCTGGGGCGGTACATTAATGAATCTCTCACTCAGTAGGAGACCCACAGGCTTGGCATTATCATTTAGGATTTTATCCAGTTGTTCAACTACACGTTGTTCACAGTTCTTCTCACACCGACTCATAATCAGCTCTTTGATTTGCTCAGCACATTGTGTACCCTGGAACCAGAGGATATATTTTCTTTACATCACAGAGCAATTATTTACACAAGAAAAACTTCAAAAGTGAACTTCAAGGGAATATTCAACAACTCTGGGTACTTTCCTTAAGTTTTCTCTAAAGCACCGTGTAATTTCGCTGAAATTATTATTTACCCACCCTGCAACTGAGGGCAAATAAAGGTTATTAACTGTCAGGAATGCAGCTATGAACTACAACTCCAATATGCTTAACAGCAGAATTCAAAAGCTGTGAAGGAAGTAAAGAAATACAAGATACTAGAATTATCTAGTTTTAACTTTCTATTCCATTGTTAGCTTTTTGTTTGACCTAAGTTGCACAGGACTAGATCCAAGTAAAGTATAAGTGATTGTGAACTTTTAAAATCACAGTCCTCAATGGTGGGATTCAGACTCCTGGTTCTGATGCTAAGGCTGGTTATACAAGGCAGAAGAGCAGAACTCTGTCTCACTTGCTCCTCTTAGAGGAATACCAACTTGCTACTGCTACAAGTTAGAGAAATACCAACCTTCCTTTCAGTCAAGTTGATGAGGCTGATAAAACCAAAGACTTCATCTAAATCGTCATCATCATCGTCATCGCCACCACTGTCTTCTTGGACTTCGGCTTGCTATTTAATAAAAGAAAAATCAACAACTCACATTGACATTCTGCTTCTCTTCCCCTAAGCAAAGGATATTTCTCTGCAGAACATGACAGGCATCTAAATCTGTACATACAACCTTAACTTCACAACCTTAATACAACCTTAACTTCTAGGTAAGGTTACGTAAGTGCCACATCACTGAATGTCTTCATGCATTTAGAGCCATGTCATTAGTTTCTACATCAGAATCTACAGTAACACCCTAAAACTGGATAGCTCACATTTAGAAAGGAGCCACTTAGTACAGGGAATGGCCATATCTTAAGTAAAAATCCATTTTCTTCAGCTTCTAATGTAGGGAAGTATACCTGAGAAGTCTTAAAATACAGACAGCAATAGAGTTTTGGCAGAAAGGTAAAGCTCAAGGAAAGCCCAGCAACGATCTACTTCTGCCACAAGTCTGCTATTTCAACGTAAAACATATTGTAGTGTTCAAAGGAGATTTAGTTTTCCTACCTTGATAGTAGTTCCAATATGATTCTGTTGTATCAATATATCAGTTAATTCAGCAATGTTAACAGGAGCTTTTAGAAACAACTGGAAAATAAACAATAAATATTACACAATAATATAGGTCTAAACCTTCTTTATATTGTGGACCACTTAGGAGAACTAAGATATCATCAATTTCTCTAAATTGCTATTTAATATTCTGTATCATTTTTAATTTCCATTTAGTATTTATTTAACATCCTTCAATATAATACTCTAAACAGTAAAAATAAGCAGTTGAAGGGCTTGCTACATAACCCTCCCCAAGCTGACATTGTGCATTTTGATGCAAAACAAAGATTTCTAGGCAGAAACCAGCACAAGGGAGACAGAAAATGACAACATACTATGGAAGAACAACCCTGCAGTTTAGGGTTAGAGTTTCCAAAACCATGGCACATTTACTCAAATGCTCTTTACAAGCTTACACCCTACAAAACTATAAACAATAACACAGATAGTGTGAACTGATGACTTTGCATAACTTTCTGAATGGCATTGCTCAAAACAAACCTCAACCAAGTCCACAAAAAGTCAGAGTACCTGTTGAAGTAACTTCTTTATCCCATTGTGATCATTATCTGATATTGAATGTGCTTCAAATTCAACATTCACTTCCTGCATACAAGCAAAATACAGAATATCAAACACATGCTTGGCAGAAACCAAAATGAAATTGAACTATATGAAATGTAATAACGACAAATAATGCTCTGAGACTCATCTCCATCCCTCAGTTACACCAGCAGTTACAGTTTTTATCACTGATCCCTCCTCACACCCTAGAGGAGCAGCAAGTTTCATAGTTTTGCCTGTCTTCATTTCCATGCAGCTACACAAGCTAGTATTTCATTTTCCTGAGACTTGAGAGGGTTTTTCTCTTTGATCTTTTCCATATTATTAAGGAAAATTAAATAGACTATTTGGTGTTGACAGCAATATTTAAGCGATTGCCTCTAGCCCCATAGAGAAATCCACGTGTGCACCCTACACTTTACATACAAGTCTAAAAATGACGGCACTTTCCAGTATGAAATAGAATAATTTTAAAAAGATTCTTGACAAGAGTTAGCTGAACGTGTATCACCTTACAGATCATCAATATGTTTTCATATACCACATAGCTTTAATACAGAACAGAGACCTGCGGCCTCTGGGCAGGCCCTGCACCGTGGGCCTCCAACCAGCAGCACCCCTGCTCATGCCTCCTTTTAAGGGAATAAACCCTGCCCCAAGGGAATAACACCTTCAAGGTTACTAAGACCATTTTATGCTATAGCAAAATATAAAAGAATTAAAGATTGGAGGCCCCGGGGAGGGAGGAGAGGAGCCGGCCGGGCCGCACCGCGAGCGTGGTCCCCTCCCCGGTCACCTCATCGATCCTCTCGTCCGAGTCCGAGTCGCTCGAGGTCGGCTCCGACCCGGAGCCCGGTTCGGAGCCCGACTCCGAGCCGGGCTCGTCGGCGG